AATGCAAAATCCGGCTCCGGCCCGTAATCCTCATCCTCGTCATCGTCATCCAAGCCCGCTGCCACGGGCTTCGTCATCACGACGGCAGGCCGTGTCGTGGTGGTGATCAGCGGCTTCGTGGTCACCGTCGTAGTTGCACCGCCGCCACCGCCTCCAATACCGCCACCAGCGCCGGAACCAGCCGCCGACAGCACCGGAATCTTCAGCTTGAAAGGCAGACGCGGCGGCGCGGCAGGTCCCGAACGCGGGGCCCCGGGCGCCGCAGCTACAGCACCACTGCCGTTGCCGTTGCCGCCACCGCCATCCCGTGGAGCAGGCACACCGCTGCCACCGCCACCGCCGCCTCCACCACCACCAGCGGCACCGCCGCCGCCATCCTCTGGTCCCGTGGGCTCCCCTCGTGCGATCCTCGCTGCCAAGCTCGCCAGGTTACCCATCTTTAGCTTAATCTTCTTAATGGGCGGTCCCTCCCCGGAAGGCAGAGGTGCCACCAGCTGCTGGGGCGCCTGCGGAGGCGGCCCTGGCACGGGCGCTGGTTTCGGAGTCCCTCCTCCCCCTTTAGCTCCTTCCCCCCTGCCCACGCCCGCGGTACCGCCATTGGCACCCGCGCCTGCACCTCCCCTTTCACCGCCACCACCACCACCGCTACCTGCGTAGGCTTGATTGACCTGCAGAGCTATCATGCGAGCTTCTTCGCTGAGCCGTACTTTTGCTATGGCGCCACCGCCACCGCTTGATGGCGGCAGCGGCGGCCGTGCCTGGCCTGTAGGAGTGCTGTCGAGTCCTGTATCAGTAGCAGATGGACGGGTTACAGGGATAGATGTGGGCGTAGGTGCCGCGGCCCCTACGGAGTGGCTGGGTGTAGCTGCGCCGCGGCCAGCAGCTGCTGCTGCTGCGCGTGCGCCTGGCAGTGCGATTTTCAGCCTGGGGGGCGCCATGCTAGTACCGCCGGTTGAAGCCGGTTGAGCCGACACAGAAGTGGCTGGTCGCTTAAGGGGGGGTCCAGAAGGGGGCAGCTCGCCGCTGTCGGCGATGCCACCCATGGACGGTTCCTTGCGTTTCCTGTTCGGCGTCCCGGCTGTGGAGGCCGTCGGCTGCGCGGACGGAGCAATTGTGCTGCTGCTGGGCTCGGCCTGGCCAGAAGCCGCCTGGCCTGCTGCGCCGGGCAGCTTGAGCTTGAGCTTCATCTCGGTGTCCGCTCAGGAACAACCCAGCCGCTGGGCGCCCACGCTATTGGCCCATTCAATTTTTTTCTTTGGTCCGTAGGCCTCCGGCATGGGTCCGCTCAGGCGGCCCACTGCGGAGGCCAAGAACCTGCGCCAAATCGACCTGGCAATGGGACGCCGCGAAGAACACCGCGCGGTCAAATTCAAAGCTTGGTGGCTTGGCATGACTCTGCTTTTGGCAAGTGTGTTGGATTTATAAGATGCCAGCTGGCCAGCGAACTGGAGACCTTCAGAGATCCTACCAAAAATGAGTGCCGAGCAGGGATAACGCCAGGTGACTTACCAATAGGACGATTGCTCGTCCTTGTTGCCTTGTATATACAGTGTGAGTTGTGTGCGCGGAATGGCCGTACGGGAGAGCGGTTTCGCAGAGAGGTCTTGCATGGGCAGAACGTGTACGGCGTAGGTCCAGGAAGGGTCCTCCTGCCTTGCAAATTGCACTGTTTCACGCATTTGCAAGATACAGACAACTGCAGCATGAGCGCTCTATTATTTGAGTCGTTTGAGTTTGATATGTTGGTAGGAGTCGACCGCGCTGGTGCCTGTACTTTGTAGGGGTGTAACTTTTTTTCATCTGCAAGCAGACATAACTGCGAGACCTCCGCTCTGAGTACAACCTATCTTACCATTTTGCGCACCTGGCTGAACATAAGAATGACAAACACTTTTTGCTGCTCTTGGCCTGCGTTTGCCGTTGTGTGAATGCTGGGTGGTAAAAATTTAAGGGGCATGCTTTGGGATTCGTTTGAGGCCCAGCAGGAGCCGATACCACCGTGCATACTTTGGAGCCATCTGTGCCATTGCACTGTGAGCATGTTTTGGTCGAGGCACTTGGTGCATACTGCGTACAGCTGCGTATCATCTCGCACGACACTTCACAAGGCCCTCATATGCACCGATTCGACATGTGAACGGGTGCCACAGGTCAGGTATTTAGGCGTGTATCAACCTGGGTGCTCAGTCCGGGTGAGAGCAGCCTTGAGGGTACTTACCGGGCCCTGTATCTGTTGGCCTTTGCAACCGCTGGGGAGTTCTGCAATCCTCCACAACAATAAATATCGCCTATCACCACAAACATGCCATCACCGCCTATCGTAACCGGGTAACTTAGGGGACCCGCTTATAATAAGACACAAAATTGACGTGTTGGGTAGCGGACATTGCCGTTCCGCTTCCCCGGGCTTCTCACACCATCCGGACGCACCTTCGTGGTATTGCTCGTCCCTTTCCTCGTAGTCCTTCCTCCGGAATAAATATTGCAAGGGATTCTGGGCACGCAAGATGAGGAGTATGAGTAGGGTTGTGTTAATTTGCGTCCCGGGATACCAATCGGCACAATTAGATGGCTGCGTTTCACGTAAGGACGCCATATGGCATGGGCATGGCGATATATCGACAGTGGGTTTCTGGAATGGATAGGCCGGGCAGCGCTGGCGAAACACGGGCGCCGCAAAATTTAAGAGCGCAAACTAGCATACAAAGCTGAAGTCAAGATCCAACGGCTGCGATTACTAGCAACGGGGGTTCCGAAAGGGGGACGCGCATGCAAGTTGAACCATCTACAGGTTTTGATCCCGCCAGGACTAAAGAGCCTGCAGGCACCAGGGCAAGCGGGTGAATGATTGGAGGCCGACTATGTCTGCCTGACATGCTCTCTCTTCGGCTGCGGCCTGCAGAAGCGTCCTCTGCGTATTACTTTGCTCGTTCCCGTCGGTACAGCGGGCTGCTCAAGTACGCAGAGCTGGCCTCAGGCGCCATGCACGACCAGTGGGCACCGGTCGATACAGTTACCAGATAACCGTATCGTTGCGCTTTTGCATGAAATTTGCATGCAGAAGGCGATGTCGCATCCTATTTAGGCAGGGAACAACGTATTGCCGCACCAAAAGGCTCTTTGGCGGTGGAAGTCGATAGAACGACAGATTAGTCGACGTTACCGACCGAAATACCGAAATTTTGCCGGGCATTGTACCATTTATTCAGCCTCGACAGAAGCTCACCGGACACACAATGGCAGCCTGACGCCAACTTGTCCTCCGAAGTCCTCCCTGGCGCTTCTGGGCGTTCGCTATTACCCTCTACCGCAACCTCTTGCTCGAATTTATACTAACCAGCGATAAACATTTCCTCCGCCTTTGTTACCACCAGCGGACATCAGTATCATGTATACGCGGTAAACTGTGGGCAAAATCCATTTCCGCAAAGGTCGCCTGCTGTGTACGTTATCTTATACATTTTAAACGGCCGATCCATGTCGGCAATCGGCGAACGAGCAATGCTGAAATGGCATTACTGCAAAGGAAAGGATGCAGAACGATGTATCCGAGAACGAAGTCTCGAGCGCACTCAAGAGCCTCGTCGCGAAAAAGGTCCAAGCCGGGAAGCGTGCAGCCTTGTCGTAGGCTGCTGTGGACCTATTCGAGCGCGAACGACTTGCGCGAAGCAGGCCTGCGGAGGCTGCACTGCGCAGTATCATTCCAATTTTTTAATTGTGGGAAATGGCGAGCCTTGCATATCCACGTGGATTACATCACGTGCCTGTGTCGTTCCTACCAGACCTGTTCAAGACCACCGTCGGGCCCTGTCGGGGCAGCACCGGGCCTATTTATGAAATCTGAACGAGACCACACCTCAAGCGTGCATCATTATTGAGCCTTAGCCACATTGAACACTTTATTTGCGCCCATAAAGTACATGAGCCGTTCATTGGGTGTGCAATAAAACGCGGCAACTTCGCGAACCTCGTTTGACCCACCTGCACAAGGGTGCCATATTGAAAGATCTTTTCTTAGCTAATTATTTTGTCATTGCGTCTGCAAACCTCATTCCAAGAGCCTTCCTGAAGCAGGAAATGGACATCGCGGCCCCCGAAGGGCACCACGATGACTAAGGAACCGACGAGTTACAACGGACAAGGCCGCGTAGTTATAACTATTTGGAGATTGTGATTAATAATGAATTTCAATCACTTTGTATTGTATTCAGTATTTCCGCAAGCGGGCCATAATCGAAGAGGACCTTTAGGGTTCCCGCATGTAGGTCCTGCAAAGTGCCAAGAGCCGGGCAAAACGCTTGAGCAAAAACCCCTGTGTAATTGTGCAAGTTTGTGATACTTTCTGGTCACGAAAAATAGACGCAGAAGCCTGACATAGAGTCGTGCCCTGAAGCTCCATGCAACCATGGTAACAGGGACGCTTATCGTTTCTTAGGTTTGTTATTCATTCAAGTGTAGCTACGCTGTAAGAAACCTTCGCCTTACAAGGAATCCTGCAACGAAGAAGCGCGGTACGGAGCACGTGGCACCTCGTGGCTACACCTCTCGGTAAGCACCTGCGCACTCATAACGCTTCACCAAATTTTTAGCCCCTGTTCACATGGATGAGATATGCATTGAATTGGTATTACGTGTGAACTGGAGATGTACAGTCCACATGCACAGTATTACAGTTCTGAAGATTTCACACCTTTAAAAAGTTTTCATTATATTATCGCTGCAAAGTTTTCAGACGTTTCGCCTTCTAATGACTGTAGCCCTAGGGATACCTGGCAAATCTAATCAGCTTCGGCCATATGCGCAAACCCTTTGGTCAGCGAAATGATCAGTAGGAGCTGTTAAAGCAGTATCATCCAAATGGTAGATGCGCTGGCATGACTTGCCAACTTCACTTCGTGGAGGCGACGCACAAAGCGCTATGGCAGGCGACGCTTTCAAAGGCCAATTCGGAGGATGTTTTGGGCTTGCATCAGTGAATCCAAGCCAGACTAAAGGGGAGACATGTTACGGAGCCCGACCACTGGCACGGGTAAGTGGAAAGGACCAGGTGGAATTTTCGTTTACTCCGTATCGAAACATGCCCTACCTCGTATGAAATATATTAGTTACATCACCGTCGTCGGTAACTCCTTAGCGCCAGTATTACCTTCTGGATTGTCAATCGACTTGATTAATGCTGCGTGCATTGAGCAGCCCTCGCCGTGTTGGGTATTATCAGAATCTTGAGTGAAATTTTGCTTACGCATCTTGTTTGTGGCCTGTAGCATGGCCCTATGAAACCGCCATCTTGGCAGGTAAGTGCCCCCGTCACACTTCTCGAACACCGGGATCACTGTAACAGATGATCTCACCTGAAACCGAAATAGGAAAACTTACAGTACATATTGTCGGCCATTCGCTTGCCAAACCCAGTCAGGTCAATACCGGTTTAAGCGCGGTCATGAGGCGTTCAGGACATTTCGGGCACAGCAACAGCGAAAGTCCAGACATGCTAATATTTTGACGTTCCTCTTTTGTGGCCGCCACACGGCCCAGCGCAAAAGGCCCACCTTTGCCGCCGTCACGTATGCTTCCCATACATCGCAACTCATCGCCCAATCCTCCTCTATCAGTCCAAATCCACCAACCCACTGTAAGACGTTCATAAAGAGATTCGGACAGGTACAGACACGCACACACGCGCTTGTCCACCTCATACCCAACCACACTCCAGGCTCCGCACATCCCATATGAGTTGATAAATAAAGGATTACATTGTCACGGCATAGCTATGGTCACGTGATTACCACGACGAATACATGGCTGTGGACTGTGGAGCAGCATAATACGTACATATTGCACTCATACATACATACATACGTACGGTACGTACGTTCATTCATACGTACGTACATACATACGCAGGTGGGGGCACGTGCGCACACACGGGTATCCGGATGCATAAAAATCCACATATTCACCGTGATGGGGTCCTCCAACCCCCGTCTTTCTCTTCCCCTCCCCACACACGCCCGCAACCGTTGTCTCCATCATCAACCACGCAGAATCCCGTGGTGGTAAGCACCATGGGCGGCGGCGGCGTGAACAGCAGCAACCACGGCGGCGGCAGCAGCAGCCATGGCAGCAAACACCGGCGAAGCCACGGACCACGCTCGCGGGCGGGGAAGTGGGACGAGGTCAAGTTGTGGCAGATGGGGTACCGCCAGGTATGTACGGCACTGAGAGTACGGCATGCTCACAATGTGCAATGTGCCGTGTTGCCGTATCTCAAGGTCACACGTGGTGGGTACGGTCGCGTGATGCAGTTGCAGTTGCACTCAAGTTTCATGTGGGGGGTGTGTGCCGCGGCGGAATGCGGGCAGCGTCTTCCCGGCTCGGAATCCGTTGAAGCGTTGTTCCGTAATGAGAGGCAATCGACCACCTGCTGCTGCTGTCGGGGTGGCTGCGTGGCGAGACGGGGGGCGATAGGTGCTATGGGGTGCGACAGGGGCCTTATTATTGGCTAGCCATATTCCGCCATGTTGCCTAGATAGGAAATGTGTGTGTGTGTGTGTGTGTGTCGCCCTTGGACACGGCCCCCCCGCGTCATGATGTCTTTACTTGCTGGAAAAAACATATGGGAATTTGCTCCCATTTGCAAAGCAGGAACTTGCTCGCAACTTTACAATGCTCAACAACCTGGCCATCTCCACCTCCGTACTCTCGTTCTTCGTGCTGGCAGGTGAGGAGGGATATTGGCGGCCCCCACCGGGGAGTGGCCGTGATGGGCCGTGTTGTTGTGTGGCTGTGGATGGGCGCGATGGCGGGGGATGGCTGGTTGCTCGGCCACAGCGGCCGACACAATGCACCAAAGGGCCGTGGGCGGGTGCATTGCTGTGGCACTGTGGCACTATGTGACGGTGTGGTGGGGACGGTGGTGGGGTCGTGGTTAACGTCCAGAGCGCCGTACGAAACCCCACAATACGATATCTCTGGTGCTCTCCCGGGGGCCAGAGAACCCCCGGGAAAACGTCAATGCTCTCTGATGCCACCGGTGGGTTTTTCGCGTTATGTGGGAAGTCTTAATTGCCGTTGCAAGTACCGCTAATGTCGTTAGCGGGCTTTGGTGAGTCAATCAGCACGGGGCGGCATGGCGGCGGGCTTTTCTGGCGATGGACAGATTTCCGCGCATGAACGAATTTCCGTACATGCCGTACATTACCGAGTTGAATGCGTACCTTTGTTGCAGCATTTTTTTTAAAAGCAACGACTTACAGAGCGGGGAGGGGCATTGCGAACTGCTGAACGGGAATGACACGGACTGTATCGGCCATATTGGCCGTATCGGCGGAATCAGGCGTATCAGCCGTATCCGCCGTCAGAGGCCAGCAGCAGCGGAGGGCGGTTTTGAGGTGCCTGCACTAGTAACCTAGCTATGCATGCCCCCTTCCTACCCCGCACACCTCACTATACTGGAAGGTACAGCTAGCTCTTGGGATTCCGTAATGGCGTCATGCCCCGGGGATAACGGCGGAGGTTTGTCTGTATGTATGTCGTCGCCGAGCCCCGAGCACGTCTGGCTCGTTATCTCCGTTTCCTCCCAAGCAAAACACTGAGACTCGCCAGCCTTGCCCTTCTCCTGCTCTCCGTCGCTTCCCCACATTTCTCCTGTTCACGATGCAATTAATGAATAACACCCTAACCACCAAACCGGTCTGACTACGCTCCCATTGCTTTGGGTACGACAGACACGTACGGCAAGTATGGCCTGGCGTACGGCGGCCCCGTCAGCGTGATTTGGGGCTGGGTAATTTGCTCCGCCTTCAGTTTGGTGGTGGCGTTCTGCCTGGCTGAGCTGCTGTCCGCGTATCCAACAAGCGGCGGCATCTATTACTGGTGCGTTGCGGTTTTATTTAGGAGGATACGAATTTTAGGGTTGAAGTTCAAAGTACGATACTTCGTACATCGCAAATAATCAACTTGGCTGCGTAACAACATCAAGGTCAATACGGTTCTTGGGGATCGCAAAAAACCGATTAAGGATTGACGACCAGCAAATCGTTGGTTTCATAATACAAGTTGCTGGACTTGGACTTGCAATTGCAAGTAGCTTGCAAGCTATATTGCCTTCTGGGCAGGTAAACCCGATTCTGGCCCGCTGTGTGCGTAGGTCCTGGGTTCTGGCGCCTGTACGGCATCGTACGGCTATTTGCTGGATGGCTGGATGGCTCAACCTGCTAGGACAGGTAGGAGGGTGGCGGCCGCTGTATGTATGTTGTTACAGGGTGGTTAACTTCGCCAGCGGCCCCCTTTCCCGGGGCAGTCCCTGCTCTCCCCTGCTAGAGGGGCACCCTAATCCGTCACCCCATCCGACTTCAGAATATATTCGTTGGGTTCGGCAACTCACCATCAGCATCCAACCAAATCTAGCGGATCAACGGCGCATCAACTTAGTTCCTGGTCAGCTCGCAAATTGATTTTATCACTTCCTACACCGTCCGTAAGATGGGGGGCCACCTCCCATTTCATCACTCCTCAAACACCCGAGGAGCCGGCAGGCGGATTTGAACCCGGGTCGACTGGGTCGACTGGGAGCAGAAGTCAGGCCTTAACCTCTGCCAGCCGCCTGCTGTATGTCTGTAGGTGTGTCAGTGGTTGCTAGGAGGGTGTCCTAGAGATTTCCTCCAGCTGAGGCCCCATCTCTCTCTCCCCTCCAGGGGAGGCCTTTTCTTCTCTTCCCTCTCTTTTGTCCCTGCACGACATCGCATTACCTGCCACACTCTTCTCGAACCATCAGCACCATCGAACCATCGAACCGTCAGAATTGACGCGAGCGACGTAAAAGCGCATCCCGAACCATCCAGGCGAGGGTTCAGGATCCCAAGAAAAAAGAAAGCACTCTGAAGGGGTAACTGAGGGCAAAAGGGCAGGGGAGTTGACCTCAAACTGGCCTCCCCAACAGCTTTTCCCTACCCTACAAAACCCTACCACCGTAGACATTTCTCTCAAGCGGCTAAGATCATTTACACACGTGCACACGTGCATACATACAGAGACACACACGCACACGTATACAAAACTCTGGCTCTCTGCCCCTTACTCAGACTCCCCACATACCGACAACCCTTGGGCCTTCGGCTCGTATGAGTGGTTTACAGGTATGGGGTCACGCACCCCCAGCCATGTAACACACACACACACACACACACACACACACACACACACACCAGAAGCCTCCCCCGCTCGCCCCGAAACCTCCCGGCCTGCCAGGTGGCTTTCACTGCGGGTCTGGAGTACAGCCTCGCCGAGGCCATCGCAGGTGTCGTGTTCCTTCAGACCGGGGGCCCGTCGGGTAGCGGACTGCGGCTGTCTAAGACGGCGCTGTTTGGAATCATGGCGCTCATGTTACTGGTGAGGCGGGGTGCGGTACAGTGTGCTGGGGGGTGGGGTGGGGTGGGGGGCTGCCGGGTGGAGTAGGCTGGATGATCATTGCTGTGCGTCTGGGTGGGCAAGGAGGAACTAGGGGTGCATGGGGAGTGGCTGGGGATGGCTGCCGTGCCGTGCCGTGCCGTGCCGGGTTTGGAGGACGCGTATACACCAGGCACACCAACACGAACACCCGAAGGCCCTGATGCCCTCTGCGATGTGCCGTCGCCCCGCCGGTCCCACGGCCTCCCCAGCCGGTCCCACGGCCTCCCCAGCCGGTCCCACGGCCGCCCCAGCCGGTCCCACGGCCTCTCCCGCCGCCATGTACCAGCTCCCCTTCACCTGTTAGCGTCCGGGCTCGTTTCCTTGGCAGCGATCCTCCTTGGCGGCTGATGTGCCGCCGTCCTGCAGGACGGAAGGAAAGGCCCGGTCAGATACTTGTAACATACTCACACATACTCACACATACTCACATAGACTCTCGCACGCACATACAGGCATACATACACACACATCGGTAAGGGATTGATCTCGTGTGCCATCCTCGCCACTTACTTCCTGCGGCGTTGTGAATGAAACGCTGAGCCGAAGGGGGCTGCTCGAGCCATTGGGCCCTCTGCTTGCACTGTGGGGGCCACTCAGCTTTATGTAACATTGGGAAATGTTGGCCGACAAGAGCATGCACACCGCTAGGGCTGCTTTCTGCAACTACATGCAGTCCTATAGCTGTGACCTAAACTGATGTGCCCCATGCGTGTTGCCGTACCGCAGGTTCACTCCATCCTCAACTCCCTCACATCCGCCATTACCGCCTTCACAAATATGGTGTCATTCTTTTGGCACGTGATTGCCACTCTGGCGCTTTGTACGGTAATACTGCTTACCGCGCGGCCGCTCAATTCAGCGCAGTACGTTTTGACCACGTGGGCGTCCGACATGGGGGAACATGGTACGGTAGGGTATCGTACTGTACGGCGGAAAGGTAGTGGTGGTAACCTGGCGATTTGGTGAAATTGTGGTACACGTGCAGGAAACGCATGCTGTTGTACGTCAGGGTTTTATAACACGGTGTACTGCAGGATGCCAGATAGGAGGGTTATGCGCGGGTCAGCCCGCGCACCATGTTTTGTATAGAATGGGACCTTCCTTCGCTTTTATCGCGCTTTAGTTTGTTGGCGTCGTCGTTGGCGTATATGCATATGCACATGTGCACGTGTGTACATGTGTGCAGATGTGTAGGTGAACGAAGTTATTCAAAATGCAAAAGGCGCGAAAACTCCAAGGGGGCCCCCATACGTAAAAACCCAGATCCAATGCCGCGCTACAGTTCCATCCCTGTCCATCCACAGTACACTGTTCTCCCCAAAATAACCTCTCGTCTTTAATTCCATTTTACAAGTTTTCTTTGTGTCCTGTGGTTCATTGCGTTCCCGATCAGGCATCAAGAGCCCCGGCTACACCTTCCTAATGGGGCTGCTCATGTCACAATGGACCATCATGGGCTATGACGCCAGCATCCATGTTGTGGAGGTTAGTTGGTCGTTTATAGTTGGTACGCCACAGTACGGCAGTAATAATTGGACAGTTGCACCTGTCTGCTCCCCTCTTATCGGCCTTGCTAATTACGGGGTTTGGGCTCGTCAGCCCTCAGGCAATTAGCTCGCCGCGTGGTTTTCGTGGGTGTTGCAGGAAAAAGGAATTCGGGGTCTTCAATGCTGGTGCCGTACATCTGCTAGCTGCCTGGGGTCGTTTTTTATAAGTCCTTGATAACGGGGTTGGGTTTAGGTTGGGAAAGGAGTACAGCAGCTCGGCCGTAGTTATGGTAGTTCTGTTACGGTCCTGCCGTAAAGCGGCATTGTCACACGGCCCATGTCGTACCATCTCGTCCCATGTCGTACTTTGGTTACTATGAAACAGGAAACCATCGACGGCGAGAACGCCGGCAGCTTGGCACTTGTGGGCTCCGTATGCGCGTGTAGTGGCCTGGGCTTCGTGCTGCTGCTGAGCCTCACTTTCGCCATGCCGGTACGGACAAATTCGTACAGCGGGCGCGTACAGCATAATCCTTGTTGGACTGTCACTTGTGCAAAATTTCCCTGTCCAACACTTGGCCTCATCATATGTTTGATATTATTCCTTTTCCAATCCCATGGTGAACCCCTCTCGCTGTTCTGTGTGTGTTCATTCCCTTCTGCCTTCCCAAAAATACCTTCCTTGGCCCTGCCAGAGCATGTACAACATTCTAAATCAGGACAATGCTACGGGAGGTCATGGAGCCATTCTGCAGCTCCTTTGGTGAGTGTCTTGTGATGTCCGAATGGGAGCCGAAGCATCCTTTACGGGTTTATCTGTCACCCCTTTCCCCCTGTCAAAGAACCTGTATGTCCGGATAGGGCGGGTAGGGTAGATTGTCATTCATCTCGGCCCTGAATTACCGTATTGCCGCGAATGTTTTGATACGCAAATTTCTTTAAAATCAAAATGGACTTTTTCTTTATTTTGGTGAGCTAAAACTTTTTTACAAATCCGTGTAGGGGTTTCTTACAGCTTATTCGCCTGCATAATAAAAAGTCCACAGAAGCTGCAACTGGCTTCCAAGTAGCTGCAGCAGCTGCTGCAGCTGCTACACCGCAGGGCAACTCTGCACGTCCTGTCAAAACTCTATAGCTCGTCCTCCGAATAATTTTGCAAAGCAAACAGCTCAAAGACTGCGCCTGTACGGGCTTCCCGCCTAGGCACTGACTTTGTTTACTTTTATAGCAATCGTTTTCTTATAAAATAATCAGTTATAAAAACAATTGCGGCAATACGGTATTAGATAATTATTGTTTTATTCGTCTGGATACTTGTGGACATTTGTTGAGGCGCGACTTTGTAACACTGAAGCGACCCAGCCGGCTACGTATGGGCGTAACATTTTAACACTTATATATTGGATCTTCCCTCGTTACCGAATAATGGAAGGTTCAAAATGCTGTAGGACGGTGACGGTCCCTTTGAAATGACCTACCGGGGTGGAATCGTCGCCGGCCACCGGTCTGGCCTTTTTCACAATACGGTGGTATTGGGCGCTGAACCCGAAAACGTCACTGATTTCATTTAAGTCGGCACACATGGGTGATGAGAAGGATGAAGGCGCCCCGAAACATGGGGAAGGTAGGGACAGCCGGGGCTAGCTAGCGTCTACTGGTGAAACCCTATACACACACCCCAACCCACACAATGCTACAACAAAGCGCCTTTTACAGGATCTACTACTACGTTACCACACATCACTATCCTCGCTGTGCTGCCGTAGGGACGTGTTTAAAAAGCGGTACGGAAATGGGTACGGCGCGCTCGGCCTGTCGTACATCCCCCTGATTGGCCTGTTCTTCTGCGCCAACGCGTCGCTGTGTGCAAATGCGCGAATGGCTTACGCCTTCAGCCGCGACGGCGCCATGCCGGGGGCGCGCATCTGGCGGCGACTGACCCAGCGGTCACGGTTACCTGTCAAGGCTTGCTGGCTGATGGCGCTGCTGGCGCTGCTGCTGGGGCTGCCATGCGTGTACAATGACTTGTTCTTTGCCACTGTGAGCGCTGGAAGCGTTGTGGCGCTGTCTCTGAGCTATGGTGAGAGGGTTGTCGCTGTGGAGGTAGAGGTCGGAGAGAAGGGGGGCCTACTGGGGGAAGGTCTACCCTAGATGCAGTACTACTGGCGATAAAGAATAAGTAAACTGTGAGGAGGCCAACAAATACAGGAGACCAACAATGCCCGTGCGCTGCACAACCAGAGGGCGGAGTCCACCAGTGAAATGGAAAGGATCCAGGACTTAGGGTTCCGCGACTTGCTAGGCCGGTGCGATTAATCATAACACCTCATCAGCGGCGCCAATGCAAGAACTGCATGAACTTTCTCGCGAATGTAGTAGTATTAACTGCGACCTCGCCGTAACGGTCCATAATTCCGCTGCCACAACCCACTGCCGTCGGCCGCACTACCTCCACCCCTGCTGCTGCAGGCATCCCCATATGCCTTCGGATTTTCCACGACAAGCATAGCTTTCTTCCGGGGCCCTTCAATTTGGGCCGGGCAGGCAGAACGCTGGCGGTCGTGGCGTGCTCCTGGATCTTGCTGGTGGGTATCCCTCCTTTCAAAAAACCTGAAAGTTGCTTGAAAGCTTTAAGTTGTCGGACGATAAGGTCGCAATACTTCACGACGCGAATTGGATGGATCGAGGCTAGCTGGGTTTACGACCTACCAAAGGTAGAGCAATATAGAATATAGAATATCCATACACAGATATTGGTTGCAATTTAGATTTATTCGTGTGGTTGATAGTAATAAGATGGATGCTTGTTACAAGTAGTAGGTGGTGCTGAGCTCGAAAAATTCACGGACTTCGCAGAAGTCGGCATGGGTGAGAAGGATGAGGGTGTCCCCGAACATTGGGGAAGGTAAGGACAGCCAAGCTAGTGGCCATGGGTGTGACTGTGGCCATGACTACTACTAAAATACCGATCGGCCGATGAGGGTCCCGTAATAGTCCGGAATACAATAAGTAGTCCGTCAGAAGCTGTAGAAGTCTCGCTGTTCGGAAGTATTGCCCGTACGGTATGAAGGGATTGCGTAGTCCTGCACACCCCGCTCTTCAGAAATTGCACAAGAGGAGACTCGAACTCCCGCTCGCACAAGAGGAGACTCGAACAGATCTATCTTAGTCCCACTTACATGCATAGTATTCATCTTCGTACCAACTATAGTGATACATACCAGTGCCGACAACAGCTTCATATATCGCAGCTCTACTAACTACCTAACACACGAAGTAACTAAAATAAATAATTAATTTTTTCTTATCTTACAGAGATATGCAAGAAATGTTACAAAAGCTATTGCAGCAACGTACTTAGCTTACATCTGTCACAGATTTGGAAATTCCGAAAATCTGCGCCCGAACAGCTCAACAGTGGCAGTTAAATGTCAATCTTACACCTCCAGAAAGTTAATTGCTAACTAGAAATCGTGTGTGAATTAAAGGATGTACTCCTAGTATGTAGCTTACTTCATACGCATTTAAGACCATTGCCACGCCAAAACGAAACCTGCCTGCATCATTCCCAACGTCCTTCTACGGGCCAGACTGATTGCAATCAACCAATATGATCAAACCTGAATATCTGAGGCTCGAGGCCAACCGTGATATGACGACTTCAATGAAACAACGACCGGAAACAATTATAACTGCATCATGTGCCCAATATAAAAAAAATCAGCGAAGCTGATCCCCCCTACGTAAGTATACTTCATCACACAATCATACAGTAAGTGTCCACTGCTGCTGCATCTCTCAGGATATCACTTTGTCCTTTGTCGTGCATGTGGTGATTCCCACAACCTCCTCCCCTCTCCTGCAGACGAGTCTGGTATTCACGCTTCCTACATCCTACCCTGTGACGCCGGGCTCGGCCAACTACACCGCCGCACTCATCATGGCAGTACTGGCAGTGGCCGCAGTGCTGTTCTACGCGCCTGGTTTCGGAGGCAAAGTTTGGTTCACGGGGCCAGCACCCAACCTCGATTAAACGTATTGTTTGTCATCGTGTCACAAAAAAGTATGTCTTCAAAACTTGTCAGCCGCACCACCTGGGGGAGAGCTCTGTCCCTACCAGCGCTCGGATGTTGGTCATTTGGAATCTATTTGATGCTGCAGAGGTGTGTCGGGGAGAGGCAATATAAAAAGCAGCCAACTCTTCACAAACGAAAACCCAGAAGTAATTTATGCATCAAACAGTCCCCCGGAACCTGAAATAATATGGTATAATGGGCAGCAGTCACCACATCATTTAGGAGTGGCTGCACACGTAAGGCTGGCCCACCTGCAGGCTGGCCAGCTGGCTGCTATGTTTCCCGCCTAGCATTTGGCCATGCGCAATCACATCTGACGAACGTGCGTGCGTGCGTGAGCTATGCTAATATATTAGGCGTCGGCGAGGGCAGCAAGTGGACAGTCAGGTGTATGTGAGCAGTCGACCTCGGCTGGCAGCGTGCTGCGCAGTGTTGATTTTGGCGTGCGCGTCTGTATGTGGCTTTTGATCCTCCCCTCCTTCACTTTCCTTCACTTTCCCGAGGGTTTCGATGCGGAATACGGACAGCTGCGGTAAAGCGGGCCAATCATATATATTCCCACAGAGGGAGGCGTGCGCTCTACCATTTCACATTCTGCTGAAATCCTCTTCTTTTGACACAACGCGCCATGCGTTGGGCGGCGGGCGTCATTTACATAAGCCTATTCTTGACCTGGCTTGGTCGGATCGGGGTCGGGGTCGTCCGGGATTTACATCCTGTTGTTTGGTGAGCTGGGAGTGACCACCCGGCAGATCGATATGATCTGATCGACTCGCTCTCTTATCGCTCTCTTATCGGATAAGAGATATGTATACATACGTAGGGAAGGCACCGACCACAAAGCCTTTGGGGCCCAGCCCGGCGCTCGCGGATTTGCATCTTATGGTGGTTGGTGCTGCTTTCCCTGCTTCTATAGCTAGCTGTAGTTTCGGTGCACCATTGTGCTCCTTTCCTGTCCTCACTGTGGCTTGCAGACTACTAATAATAGGTGCCCTGTGACCCGTTTTGACTTGCTTGCGTACTTTATATTGCAACTTAAATGCAACTTGACCGTATTTGTTGAGTCGTGCTTTGGTTGGTCGCAGTAAAAGGAGTATATGTCCTCGGCCACCTTCAGATGTTGATATAAAACTGGTTTCGGTATACAATGCTTGTTCGGTTGTTTGGTTTGTTAGTTGTTTGTTTTCTGGTTGTGCTACCCATGCATTTCAGTTATCTTGATGCTGTTTAACCGTTGCAACGTCTCAAACGGTGCGTCGTGCTACCTAGCTTGCTAGCCAGCTGGATCGACGGATGGACGGATCGGTGGCCTACAGGAGAGCTAGTATGTAGCTATTTAGGCAACGCGGTTCTGGACGGTACGAATGGGCGCATGGTGAGCCAGTAAACGGCGTATACACGGGGATGGACGGTTGTTGAGTGATTAGAAATATAGCACAGTATGCATTGAGTAGATGCATGGCAAGCAGGCATGTCAGGATGCCATACATACAAGTTGCTGAGGTGATTGAACGAAGAACACCACGGAGTTTGGTGAGTGGGCCACACACGCACTCGCATGCACACATGCACAGCTGTAGCTACATGCACATCCACACGCACGCGCGGCGACGGCAGAGCGAGCTGGCCCGCGCGCGGCTAAGGTGTGATGGGCTGCTGCAGCAGCTACATAACTCTTAACAACCCCAATGACGATGGTCGTCGCAGGCAAAGCTGCTCATTCGCGGATGCCTAGAATGCCCGCGGAATGCGGCTGTGCATATCAGGGAGGATGTGTTACGTTTCATGAACCGATAAGCTGCGAGGAGGAAATAGCGAGGAAGGGTGTGTATAGTCAGGGCTCAGTAGTTGCAGGTGATGACATGCAAAGTAAGTCACAGCACATGCTGGGTGCCGGTGGGGAGCGACAGCTCCTAGCCTAGTAGTAGGCGGTGCAGTATTGGAGCTTTACATGTGAGTGGCATCCGTACATACGTGCATGAGCACAAGCACTAACTGTAGTAGCTGGCCGCTGATGAAAAGGCCTCTCGAGATGCTGGTGGACGCGCTTAGCGTGTATTTGTAGACGTTATCTATGTCGTACAGTGTACCGGCTACTACAAGAACACACATAACTGGATGGATGTGCTCTTCAGGTTCTCCACGGCGGCTATGAGATCGTGCAGAGCCAACCTAAACTTCCAGGCTACTTAACTGGTTTGAAGTGTACTGTCCCCTCCCCGGCCGGCCTCTCTAGCTGCTCGGGGGGGAGAGTCGCGTCGGCGGCGGTTGCTACATCACATAGCACTGGTTCATAAGTAATAGTCCTGACACATGTAAACAGCGCTGTACTGGGGCATTGGGTCACTATTACCTACCTGTTGCCGTAGTATGATGTGTGAAACAGGGGGGTGTATCTTCGCCCGTGGCAGCTACCCTGCGAAACCCTGCCTTCCCCGGTATTTGGGGGCACCCTCATCCAGTCACCCTAGCCAATTTCTCAGTGGATCGCTCAGGTTCCGCACCCACCACCAGCATCCAACGGAATCTGCCGGGTCGACAGCGGCCCAATTCCATTCCTGGTCGGCTCGCGGGTTAACTTTATCCCAGGTCACCACCGTCCATCAACTAGGGGCGCAATGCCTTCCACCATCGGAAGGACTTTTGACCCTAATGGGTATGTAGTATGATTGTAACGATGGCTAGCAGTAGCAGCATTATTGGTGGCGCGTACTTAACTAGCTCTACCTTTCTGCTACCTTCCTTCTACCGCCTAAGCCGAAGCAAGCTTATTAAGCCAGCTGCTTAAAGCGGTGACTTGGCTGCCGCCGTGCCGCCTGGCACGGCGGCAAGCTGCCTATTCTGTTAGTTCTCAAGCAGGGCCGCAGGCCTGCTTCCATGTACACTCGCCATGTATACGTGTGCCATAGCAACAAGCAAACCGCGCAGCTGCCGTGCATGTGGCCAATGGTTGATGGGGTATATAGCTAATTCATATGTCTAGGTGTCTTAGCGGCCTGGCGGCGTTGAGTTGAGAGAAGAATGACTCAAGTTTTTCTGGTTGTTAGCTGGTAAGGAGTATGTGCTATATCGTGTCGTATTGTTTGCCACTGGCTAGTGGGACGTGGGCTCGTACATCGGCTCTGTATCCGCCAATCCTTGCCGGTACTCTTCATTTTTAACAGGCAGCGAACAGTTCTTTTTACCGGAGGATGTATTAGTTAGGTTTCAACAGCGCATTTCGAACCCGTCCTAATCCGCTGCAGTTGACGGTTGGCGGCGGCTTGTGACGGCCGTTGTTTTGGTGTTTGGGCGCGCAGTTGTGTTATAACGTTTTTGGGTTTGGGTTGCTTGCTTGGCGACTGGGTACATTATGATGGTGGCTTGGGAGTTGGTGTTATTAATACTACATGCTTTTCTTTCAAAACAGTCGTATGTATGTATGCATATATGTATGTTGTTACAGGGTGGTATAGCTTCACCAGCGGCCCCCTTTCCCGAGGCAGTTCCCTGCTCTCCCCTGCGAGAGGGACACCCTAATCCATTCACCCCATCCGACTTCGGAATGTATTCGTTGGGTTCAGCAACTCACCACCAGCATCCAACTACATCTAGCGAGTATACTACGCGTACGTGCATGAAGAAATCCTCGGAAGGAAGAAAGGAGGACAGGTCCAGTCCGAAGCCGGCCACCTCGGCCACCTGGGCCTGGAAGCCGTCATGGGTCAATAGGACCGAGCCAACAACCACCAATGGGCAAGAGCTCGCGTGCGTTACATGAATACCTCATGCCAGGTTCCAAACTTGGTGACGACATCTTCTAGTAGTGGAGGTCTGGGAAAAATAACGGATGTGCAACTGTTGTAGCGCGTTAGAGCGTTACAGAACTTAATCGCTGTATGATTATGTAAGGTTAGACACGCACTTGAGATACCTACAGACACATCGGTTCGAGCAACCGATGTAGATCTGAAGAGACATCGTACGATAGAAGTTGTTGCGGCCTCCTAAGCAACGAGTATTTATACTCGGGAGGGAGCCTGGATAGAACATAGGGATGCATCCTTCCGATGTGGTATCCGGACAAATCCGGGAGACTTTGTCAAAAAATAAAGCAAACTCTGATCCAAAAAATATACAAACATTAGTATTCGTCACTTGCACAAGCGTCAAACGTAATAATGCCCATTTTGGGCTGCAATTGTCGCAAAGCTTGCCGGATCGATTCGCATGCGCGAGCACGTAATTTTGAGATTCTAAACGCCTTTCAATTCTAAAATCGTCATCATCGTGGTGAATCCCAGCCTGCTGGCCACTTGGCAGCTGGGCAAGGAGGGTAGGATCCGGGCTGGAATTAGGGAGGAGCTCTGTCGCAGAATTAGCCTGGATTTTATTCCTGACAAAAGAATTGGTCTGCCGAGGTCTGGAATTGTTCTGGCGGACTCGCCGGAGGTATTCGAATTGCGCTGTGGAGCCTCGGAATTGGGCTGTGCTGGGCCTGAATTGGCCTGTCCGGGTGCCGAATTGGCCTGTCCGGGTGCCGAATTGGCCTAACAGGGTATTGAATTAGCCTGACAGGGTATCGAATTGACCTGTTCGGGGTGTCAAATTGGCCTGACAGGGTATCGAATTAGCGTGTTCAGGGTGTCGAATTGGCTGTCAAGTTGGCAGGATTGGCTCGGGCTGGCATCCAAAAGCACATGACTTTTAAGGAATTTACAGAAAACTTTGCAAGAGGACCGCTTACAAGTGCCTCATGTGCGTATTAGTTTCGATCCCACGACATGGAGTGGGAAAACTTGCACACCTGGTTACCGTACTCTGGCACTACTACTACTACGGGAGGCAAGCACTCAGGGCCACGACTGCATTACCCAGTCAAGTCAGCCACCGAGGTCCCACTGTTTTCCCACCACACTTCATCGGCAGTTCGTCCAGTTTATCCCACAACACTCGTATGCATGAATAGGTTCGGGTG